AAAAAAAAAAAAAAAAAAAAAAAAAAAAAAAAAACAACTAGTAGTTTCTACGCTAAACTGATTCAAATATTTATGTGAAATTTTTCAACTTTCAGAATATTGAACTGGTCAATTCACAAACTTTATAAGAAAAACTACTGCTAAAATAACTACTTTTTCATTAAAACTGAAGTTATAGAATACTTTTTTACCTTATTAAAATAAAGGATCCACGATACAACAACAAAAAAAGTTCGACAACTCAACACTTAACTCCTAGGTCAGGTTAATAAGAAATATATACACCAAAAAACTAGTTGAAAAATTTAATTGTTCTACACACTTAAATTCGATAAGATACCTAAAAATAAATGTTAATTTTCAGCTGGTCCCCAACAGAAGTAAAAATGATTGATGTTTTGTAAAAACACAGTCAAGTCCAAAAAAGTTTAGACCTGAGAAATTAACAACAACTTTTAAAACACCAATTTTTTGAACAAATTCATATAGTGAACAATCAAGAAAAATGATTCTTCTTTCCTCTGGAAAATCAAGGAAACAAATATAATAATCTACTGTTTACTTAAAGATCAACAACAAACTCCACAGCTTAGTTAGAAATGATGCTACTAACTGTAAAGACTTCAACTGTGAAATTTACTGAAATAAACTAGTTTTACAAAAAAAAAAAGAGATATTTTCAGAAAAAAACCAGAAATACATTTAAAAAAATCTTAATGCAATTTTACTTGAAATGCCAGAAATAACATTTGTTAAAAAAAAAAAAAAGAATTCGTAGCTAGAATTGTTCAAGTTCAAGTTAGAAAAAACAGCAAACAAGCAACACCAAGAGATAAGGTGTCACCACAGTTCGAAAAAATCCATTCAGAAAATAGAATAACGAATTATTACATCAAAGCTAACTGCCAAATAGTTTCCTACAGTTTTCTAAATTTTGCAAAATACCACTATGAAAAACTTTAGCAAACTGTCATCAGTACTTTCAAATTCTGTTTTTAGATATACCTTAATTTTAATTTAAAGAGTACACTTTTTTTTTTTCATCAAAAGCTTAGAAGTTCCGTTTTGTCCAAGCAAACTTTTAAAGCTGCCATCACAAGACTATAATAACTTTTTTCCTACTCCCTATTCAGTGTTAAAAAATACGAAAAATTGAATGGAAAATCAAAAACTGTTTTGTATTTCTACAAAAACAAATAATACACGGAATGAAACTGAACCTGTAAACCACTTCCCATAAAGAAACTCTTCATTCTTCGCTATTTAATTATCTAAACTTCGCACAATATCCACTAATATCTATCAGGTATTCCCTACCTACTACACAACAACTACCTCAATTTTTAACACCCATTGCCCAAAACTGTTCTGACCTAAACCAAACCTTAATAATCAATTTTTACTATTGTCAACGACCTGAATAGACGAGTTTCTAGAAAGATCACCGACTTCTCTGAAACATGTTAAT